AGAAGGTATTTGAAATAAACAAATCATTTGTCTTGCAGAAATCTATCATTCGTTCTCCAGCATCATTTCTATCACCAAGTCCAAAATTTCCAACTACTGGTCCCTCCTCTTTGCTCCCTACATTTGCATTCCAGTCACCAGTAATGAGCAATACATCTTGATTGCATGTTTGATCGATTTCAGACTGAAGAACTCATAGCTACTTTATATAGGGTTTCCAAGGAGCAGCTGGTGGGTTTGAACTGGTGATCTTACAATTAACAGTCTAGTGCTTATCCTGCAGTGCCACACCAGGACTCCAAAAAGAGTGAGAAATTTAGTTTCTTTCCCCACACAACCACCATTTTGTAGGTAAGTGAAATAAAGCTAGAGAGTAGATTAAATAAGTCCAACACTTGTCTGTCAGTTTGTCGCCCTATGGTGGCTTGTGTATTGCTGTGATGCTCCAAGCTCTATTACCGGTATTTTGAATGCTGGAATGGTCACTCATAGTGGACAGGGTTTAGCTGAACTTCCAGACTAAGATAGACTAGAAAAAAGAGAGGGGAACTACTTCCAAATGTTTAGCCACTGAAAACCTTATAAATAGCAGTGAAATGCTGTCAGATAACACCAGAATATTGACTATTGAAACATGATGAATAGAAACAGAATATTGTCAGATATCGTGCCAGAAAATGAACCCCTCAGGTTGGAAAGCATTCAAAGTACAACAGGAGAAGAGTTGCCTCCTAAAAGTACAGTTGACAGTGATGGTGCAAATGGAGTAAGCGCTTCAGACCTTCATTTGCTGATAGGACACAACTCAGAATGAGGAGAAACAGCTTAAGTATCTATTAATAGTTGGAACATGGAATGTACAGAATGTGAATCTAGGAATATTGGAAGTTGTCAAAAATGAAATGGAATGAATAGGCATTAGTGAGCTGAAATGGACTGCTATTAGCCATTTCGAATCTGACAACTGCATGGGTTACTATGCTGGGAATGACAAATTGAAGAGGAATGGCATCACATTCATCATCAAAAAGAATATTTCAAAATCTATCTTGAAGTATAAAGCTGTTAGAGATAGTATAATATCCATAAGCCTACAAGGAAGACCAGATAATATCACTATTATACAAATGTATGCACTAACCACTAAAGTCAGTGATGATGAAATTGAAGACTTCTGCCAACTTATTCAGTCTGAAATTGATTAAACATGCCATCAAGACGTATTGATAATTATTGGCAATTGGAACGCAAAGGTTGGAAACAAAGAGTAGTTGGAAAACATGGCCTTGGTGATAGAAATGATGCTGGATATTGCATGATAGAATTTTGCAAGACCAATGCTTGTTTATTGCAAAGACCTTTTAAACACGAAAGCTGATTAGACACATGGACTTCACCAGATGGAATACACAGAAATCAAATTGACTACATCTGTGGAAAGAGACAGTGGAAAAGCTCCATTTCACCAGCCAAAACAAGGCCAGGGGCTTTCAACCATTTAAAGAGATAGCATGTGATTAAGAGTCAATAGTACTGAAGGAAGAAGTCCAAGGTGTGAACTGAAAGCATTGGCAAAGAACATGATTCAGGAAAATGACGAAATACAAATTGAAATCTTTCAGCAAACTAATGTAGTACTGGAGGCACTCACTTATCTATGCCAAGAAATTTAGGAGACAGTTATCTGGCCAACTGATTGGAAGAGATCCGTATTTGTGCCCATCTCAAAGAGAGGTGATCCAGTGGAATGTGGAATTCATGGGATAATATCATGTGCAAGTGAAATTTTTATGAATATAATTCAAAAATAGATTTGAACTGCCAGATTTAGTTCAAGCCAGATTAAGATGAGGACAAGGAATGAGGGATATCACTGCTCACATCAGATGGATCTTGGTTTAAAGCAAAGAATACCAGAAGATGTTTACCTGTGCTGCATTGATAGCTCAAAGGCTTTCAACTGTATGGATCATGAAAAGCTATGCATAACCCTGCAGAGACTGAGTATTCCAGAACACTTAATTGTGCTCCTGAGAAACATGTTCTAAGGCATAGAGGCAGTAGTTTGAACAGAACAAGGGGACACTGAATGGTTTAAAATCAAGAAAGGTGTATGCCAGGGTTGTATTCTTTCACCATATTTATTCAAACTGTTGTTGTTGTTGTTAGGTGCCATCAAGTCAGCACCGACTCATAGTGACTTTATGCACAGCAGAACGAAACAATGTCCGATCCTAGGCCAACCTTGCCACTCCATCTCGTTGGGGGTCTTCCTCTTTTTCTCTGACCCTCCATCTTACCAAACATGATATCTTTCTCCAGCGACTATTCTCTCCTGACAATAAGTCCAAAGTATGAGAGACAAAGTTTGGTCATCTTGGCCTCTAAGGAGCACTCTGGCTGCACTTCTCCCAAAACAGATCTGTTGGTTCTTTTGGCAGCCCATGGCACTTTTAGTATTCTCCTCCAACTCCATAACTCAAAGGCATCAATTCTTCTACAGTCTTCCTTATTCACTGTCCAGCTTTCACATGCATATGAGGTTATTGAAAATACCATGGCTTGGATCAGGCGCACCTTAGTCCTCAAGCTTACATCTTTGCTCTTCAACACTTTTAAAAGTTCTTGTGCAGCAGATTTGCCTAATGCAATATGTCGTCTGATCTCTTGACTGCTGCTTCCGTGAGTATTGATAGTTGATCCAAGAAGAATGAAGTCCTTGACAACTTCAATCTTTTCTCCATTGATAAGAATGTTATTTATTGGTCCAGTGGTGAGTATTTGTTTTCTTGACATTGAGATGTAATCCATACCAAAGGCTGTGCTCTTTGATCTTCATCAGTAAATGTTTTCAAACTGTATGCTGAGCAAATAAACTGAGGCTCTGGATTATATGAAGAAGAATGTGGCATCAGGATTGGAGGAAGACTCATTAACAATCTGTGCTTGCTTGTCGAAAGCAAAGAAGACCTAGATACTTATTAACGAAGATCAAAGACCACAACCTTCAGTACAGAGCTTATTTTACAGTGCCATTCTATATGCTTGCCATAAAGAAATGCTACTTGGAAGGGAGTACTGAACCATCTGACTGACATTGAGGTCAGGTACAGGCAGTGGGTAGTTTCCAGTGGTGTCCCAGGTGACATTCACAATTCCTTGGTTCTCAGTGGCTGCAGGGCTTAGGTGAGGGCATAGTAGGAATCTGGGTGCTGTTCCTTCAGAAATATGAGGGCCTGACATCTTCTACAAGATGTAGGGTCTCCCAGGGACATCATCTAAACTCACCTGTAGGTTGTCTTGACAAGGTTCCAGAGAATTTGCCTTCTCTCTCTCCTGTCTTGCACCTGACCCATTTCTGGTCTCTTGGCGTGTGCTCCAAAAGAAGCAGTTTCCCAGCTGACTTTCCTCCCAAAGTCTTGACCTGTGGCACCTTACACCATTAATTAGCAAACTCTACATCTCCACAGGCACACTCTAGTTGGCTTCCTTTAAACCAACATTCATTAAACATCTCTTCCTTGTCATTCATTGTGACCTGTGTCCAAGTTTTTAGCATAATGGTTATGAGTCAGACTGCTAACCTCACGGACGAAACTACCAGCAATTCTGCAGGAGAAAGATGAGGCTTTCTCCTCCTGGAGAAAGATGAGGTGTTCTGCTCCCATAAAGATTTATAGCCTTGGAAACCCTGCGCAGGGTCACTATGAGTCGGTACTGACTCCACTATACTTAACAACAACAAAAACAAGTTGTGCAACGTCAGGGTCTAGCAATTTATCAGAGAAGCACTGGTAGCATGTTAAGTACCGTGGAGTTGGTTCCGACTCATAGAGACCCTGTACAGGGTTTCCGAGGCTGTAAATCATATGGGAGCAGAAAGCCTCATCTTTGTCCCACGGAACAGCTGGTAGTTTCAAACTGCTGACCTTAAGGTTCGCAGCCCAATTCGTAACCACTACGTCACTTTGAGCCAGAATCGACTCTGTGGCACACAACTACCACCACCACCACCAGTGACTTATCAAAGTAGAGAAAAGTTCCATTGTGTATAGTTGAGACCTTGTGTGAATACATAAGAAGGGCTAAATGACCTTTCCAAATGTATTCTTATCTTGTGACTTTATTTTCTACATCCCTGTCCCTAATGCTGTATGTACTACTTCAGAATTCTAGATTGATTATTAATGTGTAAGAAATTCGCAATTTAGGACCTGAACTTCTCTTCTTTATGTTTCATCAACAGACTAAAAATTTTGCGGAAGCGTTAACTACATATGTTGTGAGTGCCAGCATTTCAGATATGTCCATTCAAAACTTGGCTGACCCAGTGGTTATCACTCTGAAGCACATTGAAGGAAACCGGGTAACATATCCATTTTCATCTCAGAGTAAAAAGGCCTCAGAAACCTTCCAGGATTCTCCTGTCAAAAATAAATGGCTAGTTAGCAGATGTGATCCTAAGGCTTAATGAAGACTGTCCTATTCCAGGTAGCAGAGGTTTATTGTAACTGGGGCTTTCTGGAAATATGCCTTGTCCTAAAGGGATAACTAATGGTGGGCATTCCAATACTGTGACAGATTGGCAGGGGAGAGGCTTGGGGTAGGTCGAGATTTTGGTTGTCCCATAGCACTAAATGATATTTAATCCCATTTGTTTTTGAGTGAGGCAAACAATTTCATTAGAAATAATTGAACATTTGTAGCCTTTGATTTTCCATGAAGAGCATTAAAATGTGCAATAGTTATTATCAAAGGACTAAAACCATAGTCATCTGGCATACATTACTAAATGATCAAATTTAGCCTTCGTATCAGAATGAACTATTTTTTTATTCCTTTATGTTAATATGTGTCCAGTGTGAAGTGTTGATACCGTCCTTCATTCCTAATCTAAAAGACCGTATGGTATAGCCTCGTTTTCATTGGTCTTGATTCTAGAAGAGAATGAAGAGAGAGAGAGAATTAAGAAAAATGAGAAGAAAGATAGAAAGGGAACTAAATACATGTATCAAGTGAAACATGCTTGATGTTTTGGCTGAGGCCACAGCTCTCCAATCATCCCAGCTAGCCAGTGGTTTCCTGCCTTCAGTTCCTTGGAGATTGTAGGATATGGTGAGGCCCTGGGGGAATGCTCAGTAGGTCTGAGATGGAGGCATGTCCATTGCAACAGACGGGGTCTGTCAATGCCAATTAGAACATATTTTAAAGGACACATACCAGTTTATCCGGCAGTGTTATGATGCTTTCCCGTGTGTTAACCCAGAGTTAGATGAAGTTAGTCTTAAAATCAACTCATAAATAGTCCGTATGTGTGTTGTTTATTGTTTGAAAGAACGTTGAGAAGAAACACTTGTATATGTTTATCACTGTGTGGTAAGGAAAGGCGTTTACCTCTGATTTGTCTTTTCCCAGCATCATGGTCAATTTTACTGTGCGTTTTGGGACTTTGGCAAGAACAGTAAGTATTTTTCTTAGTAAGATTTGTCTTTGGTTCTCAATGAGACTTTGCCCCTGACCATTTTCCTATTTAGCTTTTGGATGGGAGAGAGTTATACTGAATCAAACCCTTGGATTGGCCAATATATATGATGTGCATTTTACATCTAATTAGGGAATGGAGATTTTAATAATGTCCTTTTTGATAAGAGACTTATTTGGGAGACTATAAAAATCACGTAACTCAGAGATTAGAAAAATTGGAAGGAAAAATGTTAGCAGGTCTAGTATAGAGTAGTCTCAAGTTTGGAGAGAGTTGAGAAATGGACACCTGGCTCTCTATCTGGGCTTCTCCACAAGAATTTGCAACATCTGCTACCTTTTTCTTCACCTCTTCAACATTGTGTGACTTTGGGACAGATCATTTACCCTCTCTGGGCTCTAGTCTATCTCTTCATTGAAGGAATGAGACTTCCTGGTTGAGAGAATGAAATTTCCTGGTTGAGGGAAGGAGACTTCCTGACTGAATAATGTCTGAGTCTTTTGGGGACAATAAGAGGAGGGGGTGGGAGATGATGATTGCCGTAAGAGGAGGGATTGGAGATGGTTATGGATTCCTCTTAGGCTTGCCACCTCCTCTGGTTCTCCAGGGCTATTACCAAATCACAGAGAATTCCCACAGAGATTTCCCCTTGAATACCAGGTTATGTGAGGAGTTCTTTGCCTGTGGAAACTCTGCCTAGGAACTTTTCCTTTTCAGTATTTTTCGAACCCTGGGAGAAAGAGGCAATTCTCTTTCTGTCCTATACCTATTGATGTTATTAAGTGCTATCGAATTAGTTCCCACTTACAGCGAACCCGTATAGGATTTCCAAGGCTGTAGATCTTTGTGGGAGCAAAAAGCCTCATCTTTGTCCCATGGAGTGGCTGGTGGGCTCCAACCACTGACCTTGTGGTTTGCAATTTAGTGCTTATCCTGCAGAGCCACCATACTTTCCATGTCCTACTCCCTTGTTGTTAAATGCCATCAAGTTGGTTCTGACCCATAGAGACCCTGAACAGGGTTTCCGAGGCTGGAAGTCTTTATGGGAGCAGAAAGCCTATCTTTCTCCTGCGGAGCAGCTGGTAGTTTCAAACTGCTGACCTTGCGGTTCGCAGCCCAATTCGTAACCACTATGCTACCAGAGCTCCTTCCTACTCCCTTAGGTGAAGGGATACTACTGCTTTCCTACAACAGAAATAGTACTGTCCTTCTCTGCTCTCTCCAAATCTCCCAGGATATGAGTCCCGCAAAGAGAGGAGGTTAGCTTCTCCATAGCCTCCAAAAGTTGATCTGTGTGGTCATTAATGCCATCTTCCTTAGTCACCCTTTCCTCTCTACATTCCCACTCCATGAATCCAGGACTTTTGGAATCTATGGATTTATCCTGGATGGACATTTTTTTTTAAATCACATTTAGCTGCCTGCCCTACGATAAGTCCTCTGGTTTGGTGCCAGCCTGAAGGCTCTACTTTGGATCTTGCACCTGTGTTCTGCAGGTGATGAAGGTTTGAGAGCTTGTTTCTAGAACCCTGACTGTGCTCAGGAGTGAGAAACAAGGCAGATGTCAAGTAGACCAAAGGTTCTAGTTGGCCCTAAGCATCCCCAACTGGAATCTGGCTTGGTCACAAAACACTTGAAGCCATGTAACTTCAAGACTGATCTGGGTGTTTCAAAGATCAACTCCAGTCTCATAGAGTAGGCTCAAGTGTCAGCTTCGTGTCCTTCAAAGAGTTCTAGTTCTGCCTGTTTCTCATTTGTTGGCTACTTAAAAAGCAGTCCTTACTCTGTCTCCCCAGCATGGTGATGGGACTGTTGTTCATGATTAGTCTCGTCTGAATTGTAGAAGTACGGTACAAGAACAGGGAAAGGACAGCCAAAGAAATGGTACCATTTACAAAGTCCCAGAAAAGTCAATGTAGCCTTTTAGACTTCATTTTATTTCAGTACTCAAGTATACCTTTATCTTGCTGTCTTAACAGACAACACTAATTATGACATACATTTGAATGAAGCTACACATTGATGAAAAGTTAAACATTTCTGAGAAAACAAAATTATTTTGAAATTTCCTTCTGTCTCTTGCAGATGGGCTAGGTGGATGGAATACATCAGGCTGTAAAGTAAATGAAACAAATGTAAATTATACAATCTGTCAGTGTGACCACCTTACCCATTTTGGAGTCTTAATGGTGAGTTGTCTCTTAATCACTCATCAATAGAAGTTTGACAACTTTTATTGGACTGTTATTGCTGTTGTTAGGTGACCTTGTGTGTATCCCAACTCATAGTAGCCCCAAGTGGCAGAATAAAACTATCCCATATGGGGTCGTAGGCTAAAATAGCTTTAGAATCAGATCACCAGGTCTTTCTCTTGTGGAGCTGCTGGTGGGTTTGAGTTGCTGACATTTTGATCAACAGCTGAGGACTTAACCTTTGTGCCACCAGGGTTCTTTCTATTAAACTGTTGTTGTTAAGTGACGTTGAGTCGTTTCGGACTCATAGCAACCCTGTATAGGGTTTCCGAGGAGTGGCTGGTGAGCTTGAGCCTCCAGCCTTGCAGTCCAGCGCATTAACCTGCAGCGCCACACCAGGACCCCAGACTAGTGACGTGCATGTGAACTAAGCTATGGAAAAGTGGCATGCAAATAGAAATGACCCTTCCTTTTAAATCTAAAGTTAAGCAGATTCAGACAAATACTATTTTCTCAAGGTAAAAGTAATACCTATGTGTCAGAATTCAAACATTACAGAAAAGGTCCCCAGTAATTACCCTCCAAGAGAGCACCACTGTTAACAGTCTAGTTACGTTTAATGGTAAATAAAAATGTATTGGTACTCGGTTACAATATATACAGTATTTATAATATATACATGCACACATTTATTTTTTTTTTAAGTGTTGATACATGGCTCTGTGATCAGTGCATGACTACAGACAAGTTCTCTCAGTACAGACACAATGGCTTCCACAGGTGTCTGCTGGACCAGGTGCATTCAAGGTAGTGATGTCCGCTCAGCTTATAGCAACTGTTTTTTTTGTTTTGTTTTGTTTTTTCAAAGGAGTAATCTTGATAATTTTTTTTTCAAAGGACACAGGGCAATCATGGTGACTTATTAGGAAGATGTTTAAAGAAAACTGCATTGTTGAGAAAAGGCCGAAGAAAGTTTTGCTGAGGATTTTTTCCATCACCACCTACACATTCTTCTAGGGTGGCAAGGGATGTCTATGAGAATTTCATCAGGATACCTTGCCCCATTCACTCTACAGCTCTGATCTTGCTCCTTCAGACATCTTTTTGTTACCAAATCTCAAATAACATTAGAAAGGAACATGATTTGAACCCCTCGAGGATACCAAAATGGTAGTTTTAATGTGGTGTAAATTGAAGAACACAGAATTCTTCAGGGAAGGGTTGTTGTTGTTAAGTGCCATCAAGTCAGTTCTGACTCATATCGACTTTAAGCACAACAAAATGAAACACTGCTCAGTCCTGTGCCATCCTCACAATTGTTGAGTTTGAGATCGTTACTGCTGCCACTGTGCCAGTCTATCACGTTGGGGTCTTCCTCTTTTTCCCTGACCCTTCACTCTACCTAGCATGATGCTCTTTGACTGGTCCCGCTTGATAAATATGTTCGAAGTATGAGAGACACTGTACTTCTTCCAACACAGACCTGCTTCTTTTTCTAGCAACACAATGGTACTTTTAAATATTCTCCTCCAACACAGAAACTCAAATGCATCAATTCGTTTATTGTCTTCCTTATTCACTGTTCAGCTTTCACATGAATATGAAGCTACTGAAAATGCCATGACTTGGGTCATGCTCACCTTAGTCCTCAAATTGACATCTTTACTGTTGAACACTTTAAAGAGACCTTGTGCAGCAGGCTTGCCTAATGCAATATGTTGTTTGATTTATTGGCTGCTGCTTCCATGAATGCTGATAGTGAATCCAAGCAAAATGAAGTCTTTGACAACTTCAATCTTTTTTCCATTTATCTTGATGTTATCTATTGGTCCAGTTATGGGGATTTCTGTTTTCTTTACATTGAGGTGCAACCCAGAATGAACGCTGTGGCTTTCGATCTTCATCAGTAAGTATTTTAAGTCCCTTTGCTTTCAGCAAGCAAGGTTAATGAGTCTTCCTCCAATGTTGATGCCATGTTCTTCTTTATATAATCAAGCTTCTCAGATCATTTGCTCAGCATACAGCTTGTATGAGTTTAGTGAAAGAATACAACCCTGGTGCATATCTTTCCTAATTTTAAACCATTCAGTGTATCCTTGTTCTCTTCGAACAACTGCCTCTTGGTCTATGTACAGGATCCTCATGAGCACAATTAAGTGTTCCAGAATACTCATTCTCTGCAATATTGTCTATAACTTGTCATGATCCACAAATGATGTCAGCAATGATATCCCTTATCCCATGTCCTCATCTGGATCCAGTTTGAGTTTCTGACAGTTTTCTGTCAACGTACTGTCGCAGCCGTTTTTTAATTTAGAAAATTTTTACTTGCAAGTGACATTAATGATATTGTCTAATGATTTCCACATTCCATTGAGTCACCTCTCTTTGGAATGTACACAAACAATGGCTCTCTGCCAGTCAGTTGTCTTCCAGATTTCTTGGCATATATGAGTGAGTTCTGCATCAGTTTGTTGAAAGATTTCAATTTGTATTCCCTCAATTCCTAGAGCCTTGTTCTTTGCCAATGCCTTCAATGCACCTTGGATTTCTCCTTTCAATACTATTGATTTGGTCTTGATCAAATGCTACTTCTTAAAATGGTTGAACATTGTCCATTTCATTTTAGTACAGTGACTCTGTGTATTCCTTCCATCTTCTTTTGATGCTTTCTGTATTGTTTAATAATTTGCCCATAGAATCCTTCAGTATTGCAAGCCTAAGCTTGAATTATTTCTTCAGTTCTCTCAGCTTGAGAAATGCTGAGCATGCTTTTCCCCTTTGGTTTTCTAACTCCAGGTCTTTGCATTTCGATATAATATTTGACTTTTCCCCTTGAATCTGACCTTTGAAATTTTCTGTTCAGCACTTTTGTTCCTACTCATTTCTTCCATTTGCTTAAGCGTCTCTAAGCTGGAGAGCAAGTTTCAGAGTCTCTTCTGACATCTGTTTTGGTCTTTTCCCTCGTTTTTGTCTTCTTCAATGGCCTTTTGCTTTTTTCATGTATGATCTTGATGTTATCCCACAACTCTTCTGTTCTTCCGTCATGTGTGTCTAATGCATCAAATCAGTTCTTGAAAAGATCTCAATTCAGTGAACTATGTTCAAGTTCAGATTTTGGCTCTCACAGAAGTGTTTTAATGTTTTTCAGCTTCAGCCTGAATTTGCATATGAACAATTGATTGTTCCACTGTCTAGTTTTGGTAGATAATATGGAGATTTCCATGGTCTAGTTTTGGTGGATAATATGGAGATTTTCCACCGTCTCGTTCCACAGATGCAGTCAATTTGACTTTCATCTGGTGAGGCCCACATGTACAGTTACCTTAATGTTGTTTTTAAAAAAGTATTTACAATAAACAAGTCATTGGTCTTTCAAAATTCTATAATGCAATCTCCATCATCGGTTCTATCTCCAAGGCCATATTTTCCAATTACTGATCTTTCCTCTTTGTTTCCAATATTTGCATTTCAATTACCAGTAATTATCAATTCATCTTAATTGCATGTTTGATCAATTTCAAATGAAGAAGTTGGGAGAATTCTTCAATTTCATCATCACTGGGTTTAGTGGTTGGTGTGTACATTTGAATAATATTGCTATAAACTGGTCTTTCTTGTAGGTATATGAATGTTATCCTATCACAGACAGCATTATACTTCAAGGAAAATCTTGAAATATTCTTGATGTGATGCCATTCCCCTTGAATTTGTCATTCCCGGCATAATAGACCTTAAGATTGTCAGATTCAAAGTGGCCAATACCAGTCCATTTTAGCTCATTAATGCCTAAGATTCTATTTCATTTTTGACAACTTGAAAATTGACAACTTGGATATTTACAGCTGTTTCTCTCTTCATTTTGAGTTGTGCCCCATCAGCAAATGAAAGTTCCAGAGTCTTTACTCCATTTGCATCATCACAATAAACTCTACTTCCCCAGTCATATTTTAAGTGCCTTCCAACCTGAGGACCTCATCTTCCAGTATTGTATCTGACAGTTTCAGTCAGTATTCAGTATTCTGGTGCTATCTGACTGTATTCCACTGCTATTCATAAGGTTTTCAGCAGCTAAACATTCAGAAGTATTCCAACTTTTCTTCTTAGTCTGTCTTTGTCTGCAAGCTCAGAACCCTGTCCACCATAGGTGATGCTGTTGGTATTTAAAATACAGTGTCATAGCTTTCAGCATCACAATAACATGCAAGTCACCACAGTACGACAAACTGAGGAGTGGTAGACTTTATACTATATACCAATACAAACATTTGTCTGACTTGAGATACAAACCTATACCTAACTGTCAAACAAATTCAACTTAACGACAGACTTAGGACTATAAGGTAACAGTAACAACACCATCAAGATACACATTCCTTAGAACAAGCTAGCATGCAAGATCAAAAGAGCAGCATTTTCCAAGAGAATAAGTTCAGAAAGCAGAAAGGGATCGAAAAGAAGAGCAAATGGAAACAAGAAACACAGAGAGGAAGTGGAATAAGTTTTGTTTCATTGCAATCAATGTCATGAAACAAAATGTATGAATTGTTAAGTGGACAACTAATTTTTAAAATTAATTTTCTTTCATTTTTTCTTAACTTTTTATTGTGAATTAGGTGAAGGTTTACAGAACAGATCAGTTTTCCACTAAAAAATTCAGACACATTTTGTTTCATCTCATTGATTGCAATCTATACAATGAAACATCACTTATTCCAGTCCTACTGTGTGTTTCCTATTTCTGTTCCTCCTTCGTTCTCCACCCTTCTGATCTTTATCATTGGGTAAATGCTGCCCATTTGATCTTAAATCATTGACTATTCAAAGGTGTATGTACCTTACTGGTACTGTTGTTCCCCTTGTAGATCTGCCTGTTGTTTGGCTAAGCATTGAGAATGAACAAAAAATTTGCTTGGCAAACTTTCACCCAAATATTAATAAAAAGGTGTTTGTTTGTTTTTAAATAAAAATAAAACATTTAACATTAAGGGAAGGAGCTCTGGTTGCGTAGTGGTTACGAATCGGCCTGTGAACCACAAGGTCAGCAGTTCGAAACTACCAGCTGTTCTGCGGGAGAAAGATGAGGTTTTCTGCTCCCGTAAAGATTACAGCCTCGAAAACCCTGTACAGGGTCGCTATGAGTTGGAACCGACTCCACAGCACATAACAACAACAACAATAAGGGAGAAAAAAAGAGATAGATTTAAGAATAGAAGTCATTCTTAATCCAGGGACTGTCTGAATTAATTTGGCTATATTTTAAGTGTGATGGATGCTGGTGGTTGTGAAACAATGAGTTAGTTCCAACTCATAGCAACCTTATCTTCATAGGTTTCCAAGATGTACATCTTTATGGGAGCAGAAAGCCTCATCTTTCTCCCACGAGTGACTGGTAGATTTGAACTACTGATTTTGCGCTTAGCAGCCCAGTTCATAATCCACTATGCTACCAGGGCTTTTATATTTTAAGTGTGGAAGATGTTAATAACAATAAAACTAAGGACTAAATGTTCTGCCAGTGTTTTGATGGTCCTCCATGCACTCTACACAGTAAATAGGGTTATTCAACAAACAATATATAGTCTTATATGCCCATACTCATATTCTGGTTTTACAACAATCGTAGCAGAGATGCATAGGTTCTGGGAATCTACTGTTAATCAGCATTGGATGTGTTTTGCCATAAACTTGGTCTACTGAATGTATAAAATGTTATCTATCTATTGCTTTCTTCAGGATTTATCCAGGTCTCCAGTGGATACAGTAAATGAAAGGATATTAGTGCTTATAACATATACTGGATGTGGAATCTCCTCCATTTTTCTGGGAATTGCAATAGTGACATACATAGTTTTTCAGTAAGTAGTTATAATCTTGCTTTGAGTGAGTTTAGTTTTGTTTGATGGATGCTGTTGTCATTGCTAGCTCGTTAATTTCATGAACAAATATACTAGGAAGAGGTCGATTCATTAAAGATTGCAAAGTAGCTAGGTTAAAAAACAAAACAAATCAAGGCTTCTCTGAAAACAAAAAAGGATTCTAATTGGACTTTTAAAAAAAAATCAAGAGGTCTAAGATAACAAAAGTTTTCTCTAACAAGATATGGAAACACTAACTATAAAAAATGTTGAGCTTTATTAAAATTAATAACGTCTTTCATCAAAAGATATCTTTAAATAGTGAAAAAGTAAACCACAGACTGGGAGAAGAAATTCACAGTACATATATCTGACAAAGGACTTGTAAACAATCTATATCTACATCTATCTGCCTATCTGCTTACCTATCTCTATCTATCTATCTTCTCTCTATATATTTGTTGTTGTTGTGTGCTGGCAAGTTGGTTCCAACTCATAGCAACCCTGTATAGGATTTCTAAGAGTGGCTGTTGGGTTTGAACTGCTGACCTTATGGTTAGTGCGATTTGAAGTCCAATGCTTATCTTACAGTGCCACAACAGGGTTTATATATATTGATATTATAGGCATTTTTAATCTTAGCCATTCTTGTGAGTGGATAGGAATATTTTCATTTATAAGAGTTTATAATATATGTGAATATGTTGTTGTTAAGTGCTATCAAGTCAATTCCAACCCACTGTGACCCTGTATAGGGTTTTCAAAGAGCACTGGTGAGCTTGAACCACTAACCTTGCAGTTCAAGCCGGCTTTGTAGTCCAGTGCATTAATCCACAGCACCACACCAGGATTCCATATATGTATGTGTGTACATATACATATATGTTGTTGTAAAATACCGTGGAATTGGTTCCAACTCATAGTGACCCTGCACAGGATTCCTGTGGCTGTAAATCTTTATGGGAGCAGAATGCCTCAT